TCTCTCCCCAATTTCGTTTTTACAATCTTGTCTGATCGCTGCAACTCTCCGAGGCCCGGCAATTATTTTCTAAAGTCTTGCTCATATGACATTTAACCAGCATTTATCTCCTGTTTTACGACTTTCCATATCAACTTTCTTTCGTTGTCCAGAAGCCAAATGCACGATCCTAGTCATATTAGCATACCATCCTAGTCATATTAGCATACCATCCTAGTCATATTAGCATACCATCCTAGTCATATTAGCATACCATCCTAGTCATATTAGCATCCCATCCTAGTCATATTAGCATACCATCCTAGTCATATTAGCATACCATCCTAGTCATATTAGCATCCCATCCTAGTCATATTAGCATACCATCCTAGTCATATTAGCATCCCATCCTAGTCATATTAGCATACCATCCTAGTTGTTGCATCTTTAGATTCCCCCTCTTAAGTTTCAAACAGAGATTTTCTGTTAGAATAACGTTTTTATTGGCTGCTTCTTCTCTGTCATCTTCCCGGTCATGACGGAAACCCTGATCTGAAGCTCTACTTTGAATAAATGATCACATTTCCAAAATATGCTGTATTATGTGTTTGGTCGGATTAGTAACAGGAACACCTCCTGTCATATGTGTGTTTCTGTCCTGATGGGAGGTTTTGCATGAGCTGAACGCTCTGGTGAGGCATCTCACACACACACACACACACACACACACACACACACACACACACACACACACACACACAGCATTGCTTTACCTAAATGGACAGATGCTTTTAACCATTAGAGAGAGAATAGCCCCCATGGGCCATTCATTCTGCTGTATTGCCTCCAGCGTCATGGTGAGCTCAACTCAGCTGTGTGTTTACTATGCTGTATTTAGATCTGTCAGACAATAGTAAGCTATGAAACACACACACACACACACACACACACACACAACACAACACACAATTACTGACACTTCGCAGCACCGCCTGTGTGGTTGTATCCCATTTTAAAATGGTTATTAAAAAACACTCTCACATACACGGAATTACAGATAGCCTAACTTAAGGTAATTAAACACGGAATTACAGATAGCCTAATTTAAGGTAATTAAACACGGAATTACAGATAGCCTAACTTAAGGTAATTAGACACTTAATGCAGAGTCACCTATAATTAAATGTTAGGGTGTTAATGTAATTAAGGAATTTATATGCAATTCATTTAGTGTGCATTCTCTGCTGTGACTGTCAGGCACCCTTACACCAAAGGTTAGGAAGTAGGAATCCTCTTTGGACTGTTGATATGCATCCATGTTGAACTCTGACCTAGCAGGTGAGAGACGAAGGCTCAGATTAGCGGTGGCTATTGCTATGGGAACAGAATCATGTTGTAGTGATCCACTGTATGAGCCGCGTTATAATTCCCACCAAGTGGGTTAACCCTATTGGCGCAATGCGAGGGTGTTTGCCATTCACGACAGCGACCCGGGTTAGCTTCCCTGACCTGCCGTTCGCCTCAATATCTATCAGATTAGTTGGAAGACTCAGAGCTCAATTAGTGTAATCCCTCTGTTTTAGTGTGGGCCGGGTTTACACACACACATAAGCTGCTGAGGTTATTGCATTCACAATCAAAGGATTAAGGTGAAATTGAGAGGGTTTTAACGGGGACTGCTGCACGCACAGTTGCAATGCACGCACATGAGTTGTATACATGCAACAACGTGTGTTTCAGGCTTTGGGAACCTCGGGGTGTGTTTGTGGGCATATGGATGGGTGTTAATGTTGTGGTGATCGCCGTTCTGTGTGTTCCCTTAGTAACACTTCCTCCTCTTCCTCCTCCTCCTTAGGGCCGATGAGATTGAAATGGTGATGACAGATCTGGAGAGAGCCAATCAGGTTAGTCTCCACCCCTTTAGGGCCTTGGTCATTATTGGATAATGTAACCATGATCTATTTCGATGTCTTCGGTTATTACTAGCAGACCCTGGGTTATTACAAGCAGACCCTGGGTTATTACAAGCAGACCCTGGGTTATTACAAGCAGACCCTGGGTTATTACAAGCAGACCCTGGGTTATTACAAGCAGACCCTGGGTTATTACAAGCAGACCCTGGGTTATTACAAGCAGACCCTGGGTTATTACTAGCAGACCCTGGGTTATTACTAGCAGACCCTGGGTTATTACTAGCAGACCCTGGGTTATTACTAGCAGACCCTGGGTTATTACTAGCAGCCCCCTGGGTTTATACTAGCCCCTGGGTTATTACTAGCCCCCTGGGTTATTACTAGCAGACCTGGGTTATTGCTAGTAGGCCTGGGTTTAGCCCCTGGGTTATTACTAGCCCCCTGGGTTATTACTAGCCCCTGGGTTATACTAGCAGACCCTGGGTTATTACTAGCCAGGACCCTGGGTTATTACTAGACCCTGGGTTATTACTAGCAGACCCTGGGTTATTACTAGCAGACCCTGGGTTATTACTAGCCCCTGGGTTATTACTAGCCCCTGGGTTATTACTAGCCCCTGGGTTATTACTAGACCCTGTTACCTTACTGAAGGGAGGTAAGAACTAACAGTTAGAAGTTGACCACAAGATGTTTCACAAGAGCTCTGAGTTGATACTACAGTGTGTTATCATGTTGAATGTCACAGCAGAATATTGGTTTAAATTCATCACTAACACTCATTACTCATAAGACCCAGAGCGGTGTAAATGAACAAATAAGGAAGGAATTACCGCTGGGGGGAATGTTATGAGTTCTAAATATGAATCTGACACCCCCTCTACCCCTCAGCTCAGAGACCCCTGTAGTCCAAACACCCAACCCTGATCATGATAATAGATTGTTAGGGGGGGCTGTGGGCATGTCAGTGATGTTAACATTCATTATTGAGATGACCTGGGGATGTCTGGGGAGGGATAGCTAGCCTTGAGCTCAGCGTTCACATTTCAACAGCACCAGCACGGCACACACAATGTCGTTCTGTTTCCAGTCGCAGCTCTGATGTGAGGGTTACAGAGGATGACATCATGCCTTCCAGCTCTCTTAAAGACACACACACACATTTTATATGCGCTGTGTTGACAGGAAACATCAAAACGTGTTTCTCCATGGAGATTTCAGTCCCCTACCCGGTAGTTTTGCAGGTTTAAAGGTTGTTGGGACGGGGGCTGCAGAACCCATTTGACGGGGGAGCAAAAGCATTCCCCTTCCTTTTTGCGCTTTGGGCCCTCTGGAACGAGGGGCGAGAATAAAGAGATCGGGGGGAAAAAAGGGGAGAGAGAGAGGGGGGGGGGGGGGGGGGCGGAGAGAGAGAGAGCAGAGAAGAGAGAGAGGGGCAGAGAGAGAGAGACGTAGAGAGGGGGGAGGGGGAGGGGAGAGAGGGAAGGAGCTCTTTTTCTCTTCTCTCTCTCTCCTCTCTCTTTTTTCTCTTTCCCCCTCTTCCCTCCACATTTTTAATTTTTCCCCACTCCTCACTCACTATCATCACTCATCACCCCAAACGAGAGGGAGGCGCACGGGGAGGTGGACGCTTGAGGGAGCAGCTGCCCTTTCAAACCCAACCCTGCAGTTGACACCCAATCCAGACCCCCCCAGAATGGTAGTGTTTGGTTATTTATAGATTGACCATAGGCCGGGGATTTTGGATTGGTGTTTGCCCCCCTTTGAGTATTAGTATGTGTTTGCCTATGGGACCAGGCGGTGGAGGGGGGGGGTCCCGCCCCCCAATCTGGAGGCAGGCGGGGGGCCAAAGGACAGGGAGATGGTCAGCTGGTGGAAAAAGACGCAGAGAAATGAGGCCACCTTCTAACTCAGAGGAGAGCCCAAACCCAACAGACACACTGCAGCACAGGGGAGGGCAAGACGGCCCCCCAAGGGGGAAAGACACACACACGGCCACCCCCCCCCAGCACAAAAAACAACCCCCCCCCCCCCCCCCCCCCAAAACCCACCCTTTAAAAAAACCGGGCACCCCCCACTCCCCACACCACCCCCCCCCCGGAAAACCACCACCAAACCCACCGGAAAAAGCGCCCCCCCAGGGGCCCCGGACGCCCACCCCCCACCACCACAGAACCCGCCCCGGGCCCCCCCCCCCAGCCCACCCCCCCAACGGGGCCCACCCACCCCCCAAAAAACCGGCAAACCCCCCGCGCCAAAAAGCACGCACCCCGCCCCCCGGGCCCCCACCCCCCGACCGAGCCCCCCCACCCCAAACGCAAAGGGGAAAAAAAAGGGGAGCGGAGGCCGGGGGGGGGAAAAAGGGGGGCAAGGGAAGGGAAAAAAGGAGGGGGGAAAACCGGACAACAAAAGGGGGGGGAAAAGACAAGAAAAGGGGGGGAAGGGGAAAAGGGGGAAAAAAAAAAAGGCCAAGCCCCCAGGGGGGGAGAAAAGGGGGGAGGGAGAAAAAAGCCCGGGGAAAGCCCCCCCCCGGGGGGAGGCAGCCCGGCCCCCCGCCCGGCCCCGGGGCGCGGGGGCGGGGGGGAAGGGCCAGGGCGGTGACCCCAGCCAACCCCCCGGGGGGACGAAAAACCCGAGGCGAGGGGGGGCCCGGCGGGGGGACCCCCCGGGGGGAAAAGAGAGGGGGGGCGGCCCGGGGAAAACCCCCGCGGGCGAGCACCCCGCGCCGGGGGGGTGCCGGGACCGCAGCGCGCGGGCCCGGGGAGGGAAGGGGGGAGAAGAGGGGGGCCGGGCCCGGGCGGGCCGAGCGAGCCGGGGAAGAACACCCGGGGCGGAGCCGGGGAAAGGGGGCGGGCCGGCAGGGGGGGCCCGGGGGGCCCCGCCCCCAGGGACCCCGGGGGCCGCCCCGCGCGGGGCCAAAAAGGGCGGGGCGCCCCCCCGGAGGGCGGGGAGCCCCCGCCCCCGCCAGGCCCCCCCAACCCAAAACCCCCCGGGGCCCCCCGTACCCTCCCGGGGCCCAAACCCCCGCCCCCCAAAACCCTTCCCGTCTCCCCCCCCCCCCCCCCCCCAACCCTCCCTCTAGAAGGGGGAAAAAGAAAGGGAAAAAGGTGAATGAGGGAGGTGAAGAAAGAGCTGAGGTGAGTATGCACGTGTGTGTTGTACCGCTGAAAACAGTTGTACTCTGTTTCGTACTCCAAATACTGGCAAAAATGAACTCATTCAGTGAATGATTGACATCCTCAGGAGCCCTGGCTTGTGTGTGTGTGTGTGTGGTGTGTGTGTGTGTCACCTGCCTCTGAGGTCCTCTAACAACATTAGAAGGGAAGCATGTCCTCTTGTCTTCGATATATAACTCAATACTGTGTGTTTATTAACGTGGTTCTGTGTGTGTGTGTTAATGGATCTTTTATTTGTAGAAACTCCTGCAGATAATCAACCAGAAGGGTATACTGCCAAACCGCATCAATGAGTTAGCCAGATAACTTGCCAAAATATTCTGAAATAACTTTTTATTTTTTAGAAAGATACTCTTGAAATGGGCATGGTCTAACTTTATAAAAAAAAAATGCCTAGAGTCGATGTCTGCGCCCCAGTGGAAATTATTAGCATAATAAAAAAAATCCGCATAAAAATCTGTTTAAGCTAGAGATTTTTTTGCCTGGGCTGCGTCTCAATCCACCGCATCCGCCAATGTCTGCCATCCGCGGTGAATGGTAGCAGAGCTACAGCGTGTTTGTTACATCTATGGAAAGGTGAGACTCTCACAAACACGTACATGTCGGTTGTCACACAAGACTCGGTAGCCGGTACCAGTATAAGAAATGTATGGAAGTCGTTCAGTGCCTAAAAAAAAGGTTTAAATATTTCAAATAAAAATAATTTCCTGATCCATCTTATATCGCTCAGTGGCGAGTGGCGCAGTGGTCTAAGGCACTGCATCGCAGTGCTAGCTGTGCCACTAGAGATCCTGGTTCGAATCCAGGCTCTGTCGTAGCCGGCCGCGACTGGGAGACCCATGGGGCGGCGCACAATTGGCCCAGCGTCGTCCAGGATAGGGGAGGGAATGGCCGGCAGGGATGTAGCTCAGTTGGGGGGCCAGTATGAAAAAAATATAAAAATAATGTATGCACTCACTAACTGTAAGTCGCTCTGGATAAGAGCGTCTGCTAAATGACTAAAAATGTAAAATATAGGACAGACACTTCAAAACAAACCTTCTTTTGATACAATAAAATTTACTCAGTTTTTCAAAATATGAATCTGTTATTCAATGTGTTTATACGGGCTAATAGCAGTAAGGCCAAATTATTATATATATATTTTTTAAATAAATTGGTTACCTAAAGGGGTCCTAAAATTAAAAATCAAATAGCTAAATGATCCTTGGTATGACCATCTTAAAACAATTCCATACGTTAGCTTAGTAGAACCCCCTCCTCTAGGATCATGCATGTTTGAATGGAACTGGCAGCTGGAAGGCTGCTGGTTACGTTAGCTTAGTAGAACCCCCTCCTCTAGGATCATGCATGTTTGAATGGAACCGGCAGCTGGAAGGCTGCTGGTTACGTTAGCTTAGTAGAACCCCCTCCTCTAGGATCAAGCATGTTTGAATGGAACCGGCAGCTGGAAGGCTGCTGGTTACGTTAGCTTAGTAGAACCCCCTCCTCTAGGATCATGCATGTTTGAATGGAAACTGGCAGCTGGAAGGCTGCTGGTTACGTTAGCTTTAGTAGAACCCCCTCCTCTAGGATCATGCATGTTTGAATGGAACTGGCAGCTGGAAGGCTGCTGGTTACGTTAGCTTAGTAGAACCCCCTCCTCTAGGATCATGCATGTTTGAATGGAACTGGCAGCTGGAAGGCTGCTGGTTACGTTAGCTTAGTAGAACCCCCTCCTCTAGGATCATGCATGTTTGAATGGAACCGGCAGCTGGAAGGCTGCTGGTTACGTTAGCTTAGTAGAACCCCCCTCCTCTAGGATCATGCATGTTTGAATGGAACCGGCAGCTGGAAGGCTGCTGGTTACGTTAGCTTAGTAGAACCGCCTCCTCTAGGATCATGCATGTTTGAATGGAACCGGCAGCTGGAAGGCTGCTGGTTACGTTAGCTTAGTAGAACCGCCTCCTCTAGGATCATGCATGTTTGAATGGAACCGGCAGCTGGAAGGCTACTGGTTACGTTAGCTTAGTAGAACCCCCTCCTCTAGGATCATGCATGTTTGAATGGAACTGGCAGCTGGAAGGCTGCTGGTTACGTTAGCTTAGTAGAACCCCCTCCTCTAGGATCATGCATGTTTGAATGGAACCGGCAGCTGGAAGGCTGCTGGTTACGTTAGCTTAGTAGAACCCCCTCCTCTAGGATCATGCATGTTTGAATGGAACCGGCAGCTGGAAGGCTGCTGGTTACGTTAGCTTAGTAGAACCCCCTCCTCTAGGATCATGCATGTTTGAATGGAACCGGCAGCTGGAAGGCTGCTGGTTACGTTAGCTTAGTAGAACCCCCTCCTCTAGGATCATGCATGTTTGAATGGAACCGGCTACTGGTCTCTGATCCAATGTACCATGTCGTGCCGTTGGGCCTTTGAGCAAGGCACTTAACCCCCCCGCAATTGCTCTCCATCCAGGGGCGCTGCACTGCTGCTGACCCTGTGCGTCTCAATGTGTGTGTGTGTGTGTGTGTGTGTGTATCTGGGGTTTTGGTTTTTGTTCTAACCAATGGACAATAAAGTTGTATTCTATTCTATTAAAGGGGTATTTTAGCCTAAATCAATTTTCACATGTATTTCTGGTCAATCCACCATGCAAACGGTCTAGAAATATCATCATTTATCATACGGTTGCGTCATAGGTGTCGAAACACCCCGTCTGTCAAAAAGTCTCATAGACTTTTCACTTTCCACCCTGCTCGTCTAGGCCAGTGATTCCCAGAAAGCAGCATGACTTCACCTCTCGCGCTGTTCAACCGACAGTGGACGTGTAATTCAAATGATCTCTCCGTTAGTAAATCCATTAGCTGCTCCTCTCTGTCTGTCACTCGCTCCCTGCTCGCTCTGCATGCACTCTGCTAATAGTTGCTCTGGGTGTGTCTTGAGTATCCATAGCAATCTCGCCTTGTCTCTCAAGTCGTTCACAGCTTTGTGGAAGTTACCTGTGACGCTGATGTTTAGGCCGAGGTAGGTATAGTTTTTTAGTGTGCTCTAGGGCAACAGTGTTTAGATGGAATTTGTATTTGTGGTCCTGGCAACTGGACCTTTTTTGGAACACCGCTATTTTTGTTTTACTGGGATTTACTGTCAGGGCCCAGGTCTGACAGAATCTGTGCAGAAGATCTAGGTGCTGATGTAGGTCCTCCTTGGTTGGGGACAGAAGCACCAGATCATCAGCAAACAGTAGACATTTGACTTCAGATTCGAATAGGGTGAGGCCGGGTGCTGCAGACTGTTCTAGTGCCCTCGCCAATTCGTTTATATATATGTTGAAGACGGTGGGGCTTAAACTGCATCCCTGTCTCACCCCACGGCCCTGTGGAAAGAAATGTGTGTGTTTTTTGCCAATTTTAACCGCACACTTGTTGTTTGTGTACATGGATTTTATAATGTTGTATGTTTTTCCCCCAACCCCACTTTCCATCAATTTGTATAGCAGACCCTCATGCCAAATTGAGTCAAAAGCTTTTTTTGAATCAACAAAGCATGAGAAGACTTTGCCTTTGTTTTGTTTTGTTTGTTTGTGAATTAGGGTGTGCAGGGTGAATACGTGGTCTGTCGTACGGTAATTTGGTAAAAAGCCAATTTGACATTTGCTCAGTACATTGTTTTCACTGAGGAAATGTACGATTCTGCTGTTAATGATAATGCAGAGGATTTTCCCAAGGTTGCTGTTGACGCATATCCCACGGTAGTTATTGGGGTCAAATTTGTCTCCACTTTTGTGGATTGGGGTGATAAGTCTCTCTCTCTCTCTTTCTCTCTCCACAGCATCCTCAAGTCTATGGAGTTTGGCCCAGCTGACACCTCAGTGCAGGTACAGGGAAAACACCTCCTATACTTCTGCATAGCGACAGACAGACAGACTTCTGCAAATACTGCTGATGTGTATTACTGTTCTCCTTTATCTCACCACCCCCTCTCTCTGTCTCTCTCTCTCTCTGTATCTCTTTCTGTATATATCTCTATAACCTCCTCTCTCTCTCTCTCTCTCTCTCTCTCTCTGTCTCTCTCTCTCTCTCTGTATCTCTCTCTATAACCTCCCCCTCTCTCTCTCTTTGTTTCTCTCTCGGTCTCTTTCTGTATCTCTCTCTATAACCTCCCCTCTCTGTCTCTCTTTCTGTCTCTCTCTCTATAACCTCCCCCACTCTCTCTCTCTCTCTCTCTCTCTCCCTCTCTCTCTCTCTCTCTCTCTCTCTGTATCTCTCTGTCTCTCTTTCTGTCTCTCTCTCTCTCTTTCTGTATCCCACCCCCCTCCTCTCTCAGGACATGTCTAAACCCCTGGAAGTGTTGTTGTTGGAGAAGAACCATAGTCTGCAGTCTGAGAGTTCCTTTCTGCGCATCGCCAACACAGAGCTGAGTGGTGAGTCAGTCTGCCCTGGGGGTTAGGGCCTGGGGGTTACAGCCTGGGACCTAAGGTGGTTACCAACACACACAGCATTGAGTCTAGACCAGTGCTAGACTTGGACTTAAATGAGTACCGGTGCTAATTTTGGATTCTTGTACTATTTGTATTAAGGTGCTGGAACTCTGCAATAATTTAAAACAAATATTCTATAAGAGGTGCCAGAACTCGAGCAATAGAAAATGTGAGGTGCCGGGACTCAGTTTCCTTTGAGCTAGACCCAAGTCAAGCACTGGTCTAGAAGTACTCCAGAAAGTTCTGTACAGGCAACACAGAGAAATAGTCACGTAGTGAACATTTTAAAATTGCATTTTTACAGAGCAGTACTATGATATGGGGGGTTGCTAGGTTGCACTGGGGGGTGGGGATGTGTGAGTCTTTGATCTTTGACCTGGAGTTCGATTGGACTGGCTCGGGACAGGACCAGAATCAGGTGGGTAGTGGATGGAACCGGTTCTTGTCTAGAAGACTATTCTTTTAAGTGTCATTAAAACACTTAGCTAACACTCAAACTGACATTCTCTGAGACAATGATTTATTCTGTCTGAATGCTCTTAATATAGTATCACTAGAAAAACAACAGCAAGAAACCAACCCGTCATACGATGTGGATTGAATAAAGACTGGAGCTCATAAAATGTATACGTTTCATAGACATTCCCACGTGTTTCAGTGTGTGAGGGGGATGGAGTGAGTGACTGAAAATTAGGGTTCAGTGCCTCTCCCTCAGCACTAGCTGTGTTTCAAATGTCATCGGTGTTATCTGAAGGCCTGGGACCCCCCCCCCCCCCCCCCCCAAAAAAAAAAAAATTCATTTAAAAAAATAAACTATACACTGGATTATCAAGTATTAAGGGTTACAACTGCCCAACCAATGGTTTGGTCATGGTTTTTTTATTGAAATATTTGCTCCTCTATTCAGATTAGGTCCATATTTTTGCTGCTTCAAGTGTCAGGGTTAAATATACTGGAGGGTTCATATTAAAATGTGTGCGGTGGGTATGATTATTCCATGTTCAGGGTTGACAGAATTCAGGTAGAGGGGATGTTCACTGATGATCTTTTCATGTTAAAGTTAGCTGCACAACATCTTGCATACCAGAGATTAGAAAACATCAGCTTTTGTGATAATTGGAGGTTCCTGTACAATCTACCTGGCAACATGCTCAGTTTATAATGAGAGGTTCCTGTACAATCTACCTGGCAACATGCTCCGTTTTAGGAAGCCAGAGTGCTTGACTGTCAACAGTGCTGTGCAGTCTCTACATTTGGCATAACATTTTCTCCAAGTTATTGCATTCAATGACTTTGGCCATTTTTATCAAGACAGTTTTTTTTTTGGGACACAAGCAATTTTTCTTCAGTATCTCGAAAGATAAAAATGTCTAATGCCGTAACTGGAATGGAATGACTAAGTAACCCAGAAAGACTGCAACATCAAATGTGTTAATAACATGACAACATCAACGTGTTAATTACATGACTTTTTTCTGGAGCTAAAGACTGAACCAAGGATTCATAAAAAGGCAATCTAGTTCCTCCTGACAATGGGCCATCACAACCAGATCCTTCACCCTTACAGACAACCAATCAAAGTACTCTATACTGCCATTAGGCCCAATCAGATCCACTGTTATACTGTAGCGGTGCAGCCACTCCAACAATGGGCCCTGAACATAGTGAACACAAGTAACCTAGTGAAGAGAGACAGTGGGAGGCCTGACTGAACCCCTCCCTGCCTGCCAGACTCAGGCCTGCTGACTGGACCCCTCCCTGCCTGCCAGACTCAGGCCTGCTGACTGGACCCCTCCCTGCCTGCCAGACTCAGGCCTGCTGACTGGACCCCTCCCTGCCTGCCAGACTCAGGCCTGCTGACTGGACCCCTCCCTGCCTGCCAGACTCAGGCCTGCTGACTGGACCCCTCCCTGCCTGCCAGACTCAGGCCTGCTGACTGGACCCCTCCCTGCCTGCCAGACTCAGGCCTGCTGACTGGACCCCTCCCTGCCTGCCAGACTCAGGCCTGCTGACTGGACCCCTCCCTGCCTGCCAGACTCAGGCCTGCTGACTGGACCCCTCCCTGCCTGCCAGACTCAGGCCTGCTGACTGGACCCCTCCCTGCCTGCCAGACTCAGGCAAGCTGACTGGACCCCTCCCTGCCTGCCAGACTCAGGCAAGCTGACTGGACCCCTCCCTCCCTGCCTGCCAGACTCAGGCAAGCTGACTGGACCCCTCCCTCCCTGCCTGCCAGACTCAGGCAAGCTGACTGGTCCCCTCCCTCCCTGCCTGCCAGACTCAGGCAAGCTGACTGGTCCCCTCCCTCCCTGCCTGCCAGACTCAGGCAAGCTGACTGGACCCCTCCCTGCCTGCCAGACTCAGGCAAGCTGACTGGTCCCCTCCCTCCCTGCCTGCCAGACTCAGGCCTGCTGACTGGACCCCTCACTGCCTGCCAGACTCAGGCAAGCTGACTGGACCCCTCCCTGCCTGCCAGACTCAGGCAAGCTGACTGGACCCCTCACGGCCTGCCAGACTCAGGCAAGCTGACTGGTCCCCTCCCTCCCTGCCTGCCAGACTCAGGCAAGCTGACTGGTCCCCTCCCTCCCTGCCTGCCAGACTCAGGCAAGCTGACTGGTCCCCTCCCTCCCTGCCAGACTCAGGCAAGCTGACTGGACCCCTCCCTGCCTGCCAGACTCAGGCAAGCTGACTGGTCCCCTCCCTCCCTGCCTGCCAGACTCAGGCCTGCTGACTGGACCCCTCCCTGCCTGCCAGACTCAGGCCTGCTGACTGGACCCCTCCCTGCCTGCCAGACTCAGGCCTGCTGACTGGACCCCTCCCTGCCTGCCAGACTCAGGCCTGCTGACTGGACCCCTCCCTGCCTGCCAGACTCAGGCCTGCTGACTGGACCCCCCACTCCCTGCCTGCCAGACTCAGGCAAGCTGACTGGACCCCTCCCTCCCTGCCTGCCTGACTCAGACTGGGCAGCAACCATTTTGTCTGGTTTAAGTGCTTCCTTTTTTTATTCCAAGCTGTCGCTTACAAGAAAGGTACAAATCACAAATGCTTGGGCATCTTGTCTGGGGGGTTTATCAAAAAACAGAGAAAGAAAATCGATTTATAAAAAATAAAATAACACTTTTTACCTTAAAAATAAACAACATATTTTTTTTTGGACCCCTTTTTTGTTGACTCCCCCATAATGCATTGTGTTTGACCTTTCTTGTAGGGTCAGCCGGGCGGAAAGGGAAAGAGGCATCCATGGAGGAGACCACCACACCCAGTACCCCCTCCCTGCCTCCTCCTCTTCTCCCCCCCTCCCCCCAGCTCCTCCTGCCCCGAACCCCCACTGACCCTCCTAACACCTCCACTACCAACGGGACACACCCCTTCACCCCCACGGGTATCGGCCAGGACTTCTACAGCCCCCCCTTCCCTCTGGTGGGGGGAAAGATGTCCCTCAACTCCCTCCTGCAGCGCCAGCTCATGCAGACGTTCTACTCAAAAGCCCTGCAGGAGTCCACTCAGGGAGCAGCTCTACTGTTCGCCCCTGTCCACTACACCTCTACCTCCACCCCTGGCTCTGGCTCTAGCCCTGTCCCCCTCTCAGCCAGCCCCCTGCCCCCCCAGCAGTCTCCTGCAGGCCCAGAAGTGAACGGTAGTGGCAGTGCCCCGTCCCCCTCTCCCAGCCAGTGTGAGGGGACCGGGGGCAGTGTGTCTGACAGGGAGGACATGGACACCTCAGAGATCGCCCGGCAGATCAAGGAGCAGCTGATTAAACACAACATTGGCCAGCGGGTGTTTGGCCACTATGTACTGGGCCTGTCCCAGGGCTCGGTCAGTGAGATCCTGGCTCGGCCCAAACCCTGGAGCAAGCTGACCATCCGGGGGAAAGAGCCCTTCCACAAAATGAGGCAGTTCCTGTCTGACGAGCAGAACATCCTGGCACTACGCAGCATCCAGGGACGTCAGAGAGGTGAGAGGTCTGCCTGTCTGTCTGTCTGTCTGCCTGTCTGTCTGTCTGTGTATCTGTGCATGTTCACAAACTTTTCCATCTATTAGTTGTGTTACGTCAGTGAGGGTCTGTTGCTTTAGTCATCCAGAAAGGCCTCCAAGCCTCCCTTAACCATCCATGATCAATACTGAAACCTTTCACGCATCAATAGTATATACTGAGAGGAGGGAAGGGTCACATGGTTTACCACGGTCACATTCGATTGGTTTACCACGGTCACATTCGATTGATTGGCCATGCCTGCTTTTCTTTCCGCGTCCGAGCATTTTATTTCTGCTCCGTGTGTTTCAGGGAGTGGACAGACAGATCTGGCTTTAACTGACTTCACCATTTGTTTAAGCTGTCAGTCCTAGGTTGAATGTCCTTGTTGACTCTGAGACTTAGCCACTTGTCCTATGTTCACCCTGTCGTACAGTTCAGTAGCTGTGTGTTGTCATTTTGTGGAACATGTTTTATTGACACACAACAGAGAAATGAAATACAGGTGCACATCAAAGCAGAAAGTTGGCGTGAAGTTGGAGCAACATGTGTTGTTGTTTTGACAGAGAGCCCAGGCCAGCCCCTTAGCCACGCATTACAGGATTCACCGAAGCAGAGAGCCAGCTCTGACCAAGCCTCGCGGACAGGTCTGTCCCTACACACACACACACACACACTTCTGTTTCTGTCCTTGTGGCGTGGTGTGGGTGGAGTGGAGTGTTGGATAGAGTGTGCCTGTGTTGTGCATGTAACTGTCATACTCCTAACCTCGCTTCTCCCTCCCTCTCCACACTCATACTGACTCATACTGGCTCATACTGGCTCATACTGACTCATACTGACTCATACTGACTCATACTGGCTCATACTGACTCATACTGACTCATACTGACTCATACTGGCTCATACTGACTCATACTGGCTCATACTGGCTCATACTGGCTCATACTGACTCATACTGGCTCATACTGACTCATACTGGCTCATACTGACCCATACTGACTCATACTGACTCATACTGGCTCATACTGACCCATACTGACTCATACTGGCTCATACTGACTCATAGTAGCTCATACTGGCTCACACTGACTCATACTGACTCATACTGGCTCATACTGGCTCATACTGACTCATACTGGCTCATACTGACTCATACTAGCTCATACTGGCTCATATCATACTGACTCATACTGGCCTGGAAATGTAAAAGCAGAGTAGTGTGTGAGGCGTTAAAGGATGTAGGAACAGAAGGATACACACTCCCAATACTGTTCCACAGTGTGTATAATTGTCTCAATACTGTTCCACAGTGTGTGTAATTGAGAGTTTATGAGCAGACAGTAGGTTTCAGTGGGGAGTGCTGCTAACTAGTGAACTCAATGTGTCTGTTTAGGATTGCCCGTCCTAGTTTGACATGAACAAAAACTATAAAAACAGCATCTCAATGACACAGGAAAGTATGTCAGTTACTCTCACGGCCTGACCTTCACTTTCCTTTTGTATTTTAGCCATGGTGGGTTGAGCATGGCCTTTGGCACGAATTAACCCCAAAATAGTTTCATTATTTCCAGATCAACCCACTGTTCCGGTTGACACTTGTATCCCAGTTACCCCTCTCTTTGTTGCCCCGTAGCCAGCAGGCCTAAGCACCGGGGGGGGGGGGGGGGGGGCAGCTGTAGGGGGGGGGCAGCTGTAGGGTGACCCCTATCCGTCTGCCTGCCTCTTGTCAGTCACAGTGCTGATTGAAGCCTCTGTTGTGTACCGACTACCTACTGTAACTACTGTAACTAACTACTGTAACTACTGTACTCACTAACTACTCTACCTACTGTACTCACTACCTACTGTAACTACTGTACTCACTACCTACTGTACCTATTAACTACTGTACCTATTAACTACTGTACCTATTAACTACTGTACCTATTAACTACTGTAACTGCTGTAACTACTGTACCTATTAACTACTGTAACTACTGTACCTATTAACTACTGTACCTATTAACTACTGTACCTATTAACTACTGTAACTACTGTACCTATTAACTACTGTACCTATTAACTACTGTACCTACTGTACCTATTAACTACTGTACCTATTAACTACTGTAACTGCTATAACTACTGTAACTATTAACTACTGTACCTATTAACTACTGTAACTACTGTACCTATTAACTACTGTAACTACTGTACCTACTGTACCTATTAACTACTAAACTACTGTACCTATTAACTACTGTACCTATTAACTACTGTACTACTGTACCTATTAATACGTACTATTAACTACTGTACCTATTAACTAATGTAACTGCTGTACCTATTAACTACTGTAACTACTGTAACTACTGTACCTATTAACTACTGTAACTACTGTACCTATTAACTACTGTACCTATTAACTACTGTACCTATTAACTACTGTACCTATTAACTACTGTAACTACTGTACCTATTAACTACTGTACCTATTAACTACTGTAACTACTGTACCTATTAACTACTGTACCTATTAACTACTGTACCTATTAACTACTGTACCTATTAACTACTGTAACTACTGTACCTATTAACTACTGTACCTATTAACTACTGTAACTAATGTACCTATTAACTAACTGTACCTATTAACTACTGTAACTACTGTACCTATTAACTACTGTAACTACTGTACCTATTAACTACTGTACCTATTATCTACTGTACCTACTGTACCTATTAACTACTGTACATATTAACTACTGTACCTACTGTACCTATTAACTACTGTACCTATTAACTACTGTAACTACTGTACCTACTGTACCTATTAACTACTGTAACTACTGTACCTATTAACTACTGTACCTATTAACTACTGTACCTACTGTACCTATTAACTACTGTACCTATTAACTACTGTACCTATTAACTACTGTAACTGCTGTACCTATTAACTACTGTAACTACTGTAACTACTGTACCTATTAACTACTGTAACTACTGTACCTATTAACTACTGTACCTATTATACTACTGTAACTACTGTACCTATTAACTACTGTACCTATTAACTACTGTACCTATTAACTACTGTAACTACTGTACCTATTAACTACTGTAACTACTGTACCTATTAAACTACTGTAACCTACTTACTACTGTAACTACTGTACTGTTCTCTGTACCTACTGTAAACGGACGCTTGTAAACGCCAAGTATTATCCGACCTACCTGTACACAAACTATGTAACTACTGTATACTGTAAGTCCTATTAAACTACTGCTAAATGCATATTATATTACTATATTACTCACTGACCTATTAACTACTGTACTATTAACTACTGTACTTGTACCTATAACTACTTACTACTGTACCTATTAACTACTGTACCTATACTACTGTAACTCTGTACCATTAACTACTTAACTACTGTAACTACTGTACCTATTAACTACTGTAACTACTTACCATTAACTACTGTACCATGTAACTGACTGTACCTATTAACTACTGTAAACTATTTACCTAACTGTACCTATTAACTACTGTACTATGTAACTATGTAACTACTGTACCTATTAACTACTGTACCTACTGTACCTATTAAACTACTGATGTACCTTAACTGTACTACTGTACCTATTAACTACTATTAACTACTGTAAACTGTAACTGTATGTAACCTACTGTACAACTACTTTACTGTAATACTTACTATTAACTACTGTACCTATTAATTAACTGTACTACTGTAACCTATTAACTATGTACCTATTAACTACTTAACTGTACTATAACTACTGTACTGCTGACCTACTGTACCTATTAACTACTGTACTACTGTACCTATTAACTACTGTACCTATACTATTAACTACTGTACCATTAACACTGTACCTATTAACTACTGTAACCTACTGTACCTATTAACTACTGTACCTATTAACTACTGTAACTACTGTACCTATTAACTACTGTACCTATTAACTACTGTACTATTAACTACTGTACCTATTAACTACTATTACTACTGTAACCTTTAACTACTGTACCTATTAACTACTGTACCTATTAACTACTGTAACACTTACTTAACTACTGTAACTACTGTACCTATTAACTACTGTACCATTAACTACTGTAACTACTGTACCTATTAAACTCCTATAACTACTGTACTACTTAACTATGACTTGTACCTATTAACTACTGTACCTACTGTACCTATAACTACTGTACTATTAACTACTGTACCTATATAACTACTGTACTATTAACTTACTGTACCTATTACCTAAACTACTGTACCTATTAACTCTGTTAATGATCTGTACCTATTAACTACTGTACCTATTAACCTTACTATGTACCTATTAACTACTGTACTACTATAACTACTGTACCATTAACTACTGTAAACTACTTAACCTGTAACTACTGTACATATTAACTACTGTACCTATTAACTACTGTAAACTGACTATTAACTACTGTACCTTTTACTGTACTTGTACCTATAAACTTAATACTACTCTATAACTTACTGTACCTATTAACTCTGTTAACTACTGTACCTATTAACTACTGTAACTATTAACGTGAACTGACCTATTAACTACTGTACCTACTGTACCTTTAATACTGTACCTTTAACTGATTACCTGTACTATTAAACTAATGTACATCTATTAACTACTGTACCTATTAACTACTGTAATACTACTGTACTATTAACTACTGTACTCTTAATTAACTACTGTACCTATTAACTACTGTTAACTACTGTACCTATTAACTACTGTACCTATTAATACTTTACTTATTTAATACTGCTAACCTGTAAGCTTACTCGTACTATTAACTACTGTATACGACTATTAACTACTGTACCTATTACTATGTCTTTAACTACTGTACTATTAATACTGTACCTTTATACTGTACTATAACTACTGTACCTATTAACTACTGTACTTAACTACTGTACCTATTAATATGTACTACTGTACTAACTACTGTACCTATTAATACTGTACCTATGTAAACTTACTTAACTACTTACTGTAACTATTACTACTTACTGTACCTATTAACTACTGTACCTATTAACTACTGTAACTACTGTACCTATTAACTATGTACTATAACTACTTAAACTACTGTACTATAACTACTGTACCTATTAACATTAACTCTGAACTACTGTACCTATAACTACTGTACTACTGTACCTATTAACACTGTACTATTAATACTGTACTCTTAACTACTGTACTATAACTACTGTAGTACTGTCTTTAAATACTTACCATTAATACTGTACCATAACTACTGTACCTTAACTACTTACACGTAATTAACTATGTACTACTACTGACTATAACTACTGTACTATTAACTGTACTCTGTACCTTAATAGCATAATTGTACTATAACTCTATTAATACGTCTATTATAGACTACTTACATATTACACCACTGCTACCTGATTAACCTACTGTACCTATTAACTCTATTAACTACTGTACCTATTAACTACTGTCTGACTGCAGTGTCTTTGTAGATCAACTATAATACTGCATCTTTGGAAACAGTACCTGTTTGAAGTTACCTTTCACTTGGTGGTATGTCTAACCTCCCTCCCTCTCTCCCCCTGTCCAGGTAACATCACCACACGTATCCGTACTCCAGAGTGTGGTTCAGACGACGCCATCAAGTCTATCCTGGAGCAGGCCAAGAGAGAGCTGCATGTGCAGAAATCTAGTGAGTGTCCACTCCTCTCTGCACTCTGGTGGAATAGGATGACAGTTGTTCCCGCTCTGGTGGAATAGGATGACAGTTGACCCCCGCTCTGGTGGAATAGGATGACAGTTGTCCCCGCTCTGGTGAAATAGGATGACAGTTGTCCCCGCTCTGGTGGAATAGGATGACAGTTGTCCCCTCTGGTGGAATAGGATGACAGTTGTCCCCTCTGGTGGAATAGGATGACAGTTGTCCCCACTCTGGTGGAATAGGATGACAGTTGTCCCCATTCTGGTGGAATAGGATGACAGTTGTCCCCACTCTGGTGGAATAGGATGACAGTTGTCCCCATTCTGGTGGAATAGGATGACAGTTGTCCCCACTCTGGTGGAATAGGATGACAGTTGTCCCCACTCTGGTGGAATAGGATGACAGTTGTCCCCTCTGGTGGAATAGGATGACAGTTGTCCCCACTCTGGTGGAATAGGATGACAGTTGTCCCCACTCTGGTGGAATAGGATGACAGTTGTCCCCTCTGGTGGAATAGGATGACAGTTGTCCCCACTCTGGTGGAATAGGATGACAGTTGTCCCCACTCTGGTGGAATAGGATGACAGTAGATGATCCAGTGTATATACAGTGCATTTGGAAAGTATTCAGACCCCTTCCCCTTTTCCACATTTTGTTTACGTTACAGCCTTATTCTAAAATTGATTAAATCATTTTTTCCCCTCAATCAAGGTGTCTGAATACTTTTCGAATTTACTGTATATAGTGGTGTATCTTATTCAAAGACATGACTGAATGGTCTAAGAAGTTAGTATCCTCAACTTACTCAGAATTGGCTGTTAGCATTGTGTGTGTGTGTGTGTGTGTGTGTGTGTGTGTGTGTGTGTGAGATATTCATTTCTCCTTTCTCCCTCCAGCAGACTTCTCCCATGGTCCTTCTCCTGGTGGGGGGCTGAGAGGAGGAGGAGGAGGCGGTGGTTCGGACGAGGCCATCCGCTCCATCCTAGAACAAGCTCGAAGAGAGATGGAGGCCCAACAGGCTGCTGTGGAGCCCATCCTCAAAGCCTCCTCCTCTTCCTCCTCCTCCTCCTCCTCTCACTCCCAGAGGGACTTCCTGGTGTCCCATCTGGCTGCCTACACCCCTCTGGCTCTCTCCCTGAAGAAACCCCCCACCGCCCTCCCAGTCTCCCCCTACTCGCCATCTACAGTCCTGGACTTCAGCTCCGGTGTGAAGAGGGAGGACAGGGGAGTGTCGGTGCCAGACGGGGTGCCCAGGCTGAGTCTGAGCTCCGAGGGGTCTGCCCGGGCTGGAGGGGGGCACTGGAGGGAGCAGTGGTGGAGCAACATGAACCCAGACCCCCGCAGAGTTACACCCACACTGGGGGGAGAGGAGAACCACACCCAGGAGGACTCTAAAGAGGTGAGTACCACAGTCAGAATAAACACACAAACCCTGGGTGAGACCACAGTGACTCACTACTGAAGAGGAGGGGGGGGGGTTCTGGAATGTCTGTCCACATTTATCACAGCCATCCAGACTCCCATTCTGTCTGTTAGTGTCTCACAGACAACATTTAAATCAACCCAGCTCTCAAGTAATCACTCAGCTTTGATCTCAATACAATTCATAATATGTGTAACCTAGTTAATGTGTGTGCTTATGTCTCTGTATCTGTTTAGCCATTCCAGAACGTGTACGAGTGACTGACATATTTTTTTTTTGTGTGTGTGTTTTAGGCACTGGCTTTGTCCCTGGGAAGCATTTGTGATGGTCTGGGGTCTCGGCATAAACCCTGGAGCAAGATGCAGCTGTGGCTGAACGGTGACCTGGGCCAGAACACACACATCAAGCCTGCTCACAACCAAGGTAATGCACTGTGTGTGTGTGTGTATTGACAAACAACTGACTGACTGTATGGCTGACGATCATCTCTCAATCAGGCCCCACCCCAACTTACAGTCAGCTGCTGAGCTGTAAATGAACACAATTACGCTGCTGGCTCATATGCAGCTCCACACATTTACATTTACATTTTAGTCATTTAGCAGACGCTCTTATCCAGAGCGACTTACAGTTAGTGAATACATTATTATTATTATTATTTTTTTTTTATACTGGCCCCCCGTGGGAATCGAACCCACAACCCTGGCGTTGCAAACGCCATGCTCTATCAACTGAGCTACATCCCTGCCGGCCATTCCCTCCCCTACCCTGGACGACGCTGGGCCAATTGTGCGCCGCCCATGAGTCTCCCGGTCGCGGCCGGCTGCGACAGAGCCTGGATTCGAACCAGGATCTCTAGTGGCACAGTTAGCACTGCGAAGCAGTGCCTTAGACCACTGCGCCACTCAGGAGACACAGCCCTGGGTGAGAGCACTGCTATGGAGCGAGATATCTGCAAAAGGTTGAACGTACGTATTATTAGGATCATAAGAAAAGCCATGCGTGAAACACGAAACGTAAACGTCAAATTAGATCTGTAAACTTAAAAACCGGATGTTACGACTACGAATGAACATTTACACGTTCAATTCATACTTTACGTCTCCCTTTACTCGGTTACAGATCTTTTTTTTATACGTACAAACTTTTGACAGGAATGGGGCATCTGCAAAGGACATGAACCGGACGTAGCTAGCCGAAGTTGGCTAGTCAATCAAGCAACTCTAGCCCAGACGTTAAGAGTTGCTTTGCAGCCTCCGGTTTCATTTCCAAAATAAAAGTCTAGACCTTGTTTTAGAACTGCATTCGTTAAGGACGTTATTTATACCAGCAGATGGCGTAGTATAGGTTTATTTATACCAGCAGATGGCGTAGTATAGGTTTATTTATACCAGCAGATGGCGTAGTATAGGTTTGGGCCTTCAGCAAATGACTTGTGTGAGACACAGAAGAGCCTTGTCTAGAATCACCGCCTGAGCTGCAACATAGAAAGTAAATATGATTTAGAATGATGAGTTGCGCGCATCATGCATGCTCTGCACTTTATTTGGCTTCTACTTTTAACATTATGTGCTTTGGCACCCTCATTGCCCCAATATGTCTCTGTCAAAAAAGAGAAAAGTGGACGCAGAGTGCAGAGTGTTCCAAGAAAAATGGTCATCCTATTTAATCACGGAATTGAATGGGAAAGCTGTATGTTTGGTGTGTTCAGAGCATGTTGCAGTGCTGAAAGAATATAACCTTCGTCGCCACTATGTGAGTCTTCATGCCGACAAATATGACAACTTTCAAGGACAGCGGAGATGAGAGAAGGTGAATGAACTGTTGGCGGGTCTGAAGAAACAGCAGTCTGTGTTTACTCACAGCCGAGACATCAGTGACGCTGCAGTGAAAGCTAGCTACCTCATTGCTAATGAAATCGCAGTGGCTTCAAAACCATTTAGTGAGGGTGAATTTGTAAAAACATGCATGATGAAGGCAGCGGAGATTGTGTGCCCTGAAAAGCGGCAGGCTTTTGCAAATATCAGCCTGACAAGAAACACAGTTGCAGACAGGATTTCCGATCTTTCAGTGGATTTGGACAGCCAGTTGAAGCAAAAAGTAAAGTCATTTATTGCGTTTTCGGTTGCAATTGATGAAAGCATGGACATTAGATGTTGCACTACTGGCCATTTTTTCATCCGCGGAGTTGATGACACATTGACCGTCACCGAGGAGTTCGTGGAGTTGGTGCCGATGACAGATACAACGACAGCAGCTGATATTTTTACCGCACTCGTCGGCGCGCTGGACAGGGTCGGAGTGGACTGGTCCCGCACTGTCAGCCTGGCTACAGATGGTGCGCCCTCAATGATCGGGAAAAAAAGCAGGCGTTGTGACAAAGTTCAGAGAGAAAGTGCAATCTGCAAATGGAGGATGTGATTTTTTGACTTTTCACTGTATTTTGCACCAGGAGGCTTTGTGTTGCAAGTCATTAAAGATGGATAACGTCATGAAGGTGGTCATCCAAACTGTTAATTTCATCCGATCCAGAAGCCTGAATCACCGTCAGTTTGACAGCCTTCTCAGAGAGAAAGACCACATCTATGGCCTGCCATACCACACTGAGGTAAGATGGTTAAGCCGAGGTGCTGTGCTGAGGCGTTTCTTTGATTTACGAGAAGAAATTGAACAGTTCATGGAAGAAAAGGGCAAACCAGTGTTAGAATTTCATTCCGCAGAATGGATGCCGGACCTTGCATTTATGGTGGATGTTACAGAGCACCTGAATAACTTGAACAAACAGCTGCAAGGGCGCAACAAAGTTGTCACGCAGTATTATGACAGCATACGTTCTTTCAAGTTGAAGCTGTCATTGTGGGAGACGCAACTTGCCGGTGGTGATGCAGCTCACTTCCCCTGTCTGAAAAATGTGTGCGCGACCCAACATGTGGCAGACATGAAGCGGTTCAAAGATAAAATAACGGGACTGTTACGGGAGTTTGAGCAACGCTTTCAGATTTATGTTTATATGTTTTTATGTTGATGTGCTATTGTTTTTAATTGATTTTATTTTATTTGTATATTTAACCTATTCTTGACTCTGTGGTTCTTGCACTTGTTTGGGGAACAGGATTTCATTATTTTTATCTACATTTCTGCCTGAGAAATGACACCCTGATATAGTTCTGTGATCTGTGAAACAGTTCTGTTAATCACTGAGGCATTGTGTGTTTGTGTGTTCTTTTTCTTTAGAATTTTCAAATAAACTTGACGTGTTTTATGATTAATAGTGATGTTGTGCTTGTACTATTTTGGACACACTGTCCTCAGGCTCCAGCTTTATGTTGTATATTGATCGTATTAAAACAAAGAAAACAATCTGAAGTTGTTGTTTTTAAGTTATATATACCATGATTTTTCCGGTCCGGCCCACTTGGGAATAGATTTTCCTCCATGTGGCCCCTGAGCTAAAATGAGTTTGACACCCCTGCTCTAAAGGGTGTTATTGTACGTCAGAATTGCAACACAAGATTTGTTCAAGCCTAAAATGTTAGTCCGTAACTGAACATGGTGTTTGTATGTTCACAGATGAAATTGTATGTTTCATGTTTCACGCATTGCTTTTCTTACAATCCTAACAATTACGTATGGATTTTCTTACGATCCTAACGATACGTACGTTCAAACTTTTGGCAGGTATCTGGCTTTATACACTGCTCTCTTAGCCTGTTGATAGCTGGGGGGTTGCTGCCATCATGTCACCCCTTCCCTCCCCCCTCCCTCCATCCATCCCCTCCCTCCTCCCTCTCCCTTCCCTCCCCCTCCTCCCTCTCTCTCTCTCCCCCTCCCTCCCCAGCCCTGTTTTCAGGCCTCTGGGTGAGAGATGGCAGCAGGGTCTCTTTCTCCAGGCACAAAGAGGACGTAACCCACACTGACAGCTCTCCATGATTGCTCCATTCCAGCCTTCTGCAAAACAGGACAGAGACGGGGAGGTGGGAGGGGACAGAGGGAGAGCGATGGAAAGGGAGTGGGAGAAGGAGAGATGCAGATACCCTATCCTACCCTAACACTATGAATAGATCCCTTTTGTTGTTTGCAGATCTGAAGGAACTGGATAAGGTCTTCCTATGAGTTTAGAGGAGATTCAGCCATATTGTTAATATCTCTCTCTCAGACCTGCCAACACTGAGGGCTTTGAGGGGATGGAGGTTTCCTTCTGAATTTACTTGTTGACTCTATCAGTGTTTATTAATCCTGGTCCTGGGGACCCAAAGGGGGCCCTAGCACTACACACCTCATTCCACTATTCAGCTCATCGTCAAGTCGTTGGCCAAGTGCTAGGGCAAACACAAATGTTCACCCCTTTGGGTCCTACGGACCAGGATTAAGAAACACTTAATTCAAGGGATACTTTGGGATTTTGGCAACTTCCCCAGAGTCAGATGAACTCATGGACACCATTTTTGTCTCTATGTCCAGTATGAGGTAATTTCGTGAACCAATGCTAACTAGCGTTAGCGCAATGACTGGAAGTCTATGGGTATTTACTAGCATGCATACCGTACTAACCTACTGTACTGTCTGCTCCTGCCCTGTGTTTCCTCTCTCCTCCAGCAGAGGGCACTCCCAGCCAGACCTCAGCCAGCTGCAGCCCTGCCCCGGAGTCTCCACTGAGCTCTGCTGAGGAGTCACTCAATGGTTTAGGGGGGGACCGGGACCCTCTAGCCACCCCGGCCCCGTCTCTGGAGCCCCCATCTGGTGAGCCCTCAGGGGGTGAGTCCCAGCCTGGCACGCCCCTGCCCCTCCCCGGCCCCATCACAGGCCTCAGCATCCAGGAGACGATAGCCACGTCCCCAGAACTGGACACCTACGTCATCACCAAGAAGGTCAAGGAGGTGCTGACCGATAACAACCTTGGTGAGACTCACAGCTTTTACGATACCTTCAGTCTCTATCTGTTCCCTTTTCTCCTTCCCTCTCGCTCTCTTCCCTACTTTATTATTTCTCTCCTATTTCCTATTTGTATTTTCCTCTTTTGTCATTCTTAGTTTTTTGTCTAATTCTTTCCTTTTAGATTAATCTCCAAATACAAGCTTGGATTTCCCAATCCCATGGTAGTCTATCCAGACCTCCAGGCTGACCCCCTGTCTCTCTACTCTCTCTCCCCCCAGGGCAGCGTCTGTTTGGGGAGAGTATCCTGGGTCTGACCCAGGGCTCGGTGTCTGATCTGCTGGCTCGGCCCAAGCCCTGGCACAAGCTCAGTCTAAAGGGACGTGAGCCCTTCGTCCGCATGCAGCTCTGGCTGCAGGACCCACACAAAGTGGAGAAGCTGATGGACATGAAACGTCTGGAGAAAAAAGGTAATGATCTCTCTCTGTCTCTGTCTCTCTCTCTCTCTGTCGCTCTCTCTGTCTCTGTCGCTCTCTGTCTCTCTGTCGCTCTCTGTCTCTGTCTCTCTTTCTGTCTCTCTCTCTCTCTCTCACACACACACACATAGACAGACAGACAGACCAAACACACCCCGGTGTGCTGTTAGGACCGATTATGGACACGGACAATGATTTGCTTTATTGGATGTGACAGGCTTACAGTCATCATCGTCATCATCATATTCTTCATCAATTATAAACAGCAGCAGTCAGCGATTACTATCATTTTTCCTCCCCTTACTGCACTGATCCATTCATCCACTGCTTCCTGGTTCCATTCATCCACTGCTTCCTGGTTCCGTTCATCCACTGCTACCTGGTTCCATTCATCCACTGCTTCCTGGTTCTGTTCATCCACTGCTTCCTGGTTCCATTCATCCACTGCTTCCTGGTTCCGTTCATCCACTGCTACCTGGTTCCATTCATCCACTGCTTCCTGGTTCCGTTCATCCACTGCTTCCTGGTTCTGTTCATCCACTGCTACCTGGTTCCATTCATCTACTGCTTCCTGGTTCCATTCATCCACTGCTTCCTGGTTCAATTCATCCACTGCTACCTGGTTCCATTCATCCACTGCTTCCTGGTTCCATTCATCCACTGCTTCCTGGTTCTGTTCATCCACTGCTTCCTGGTTCCATTCATCCACTGCTTCCTGGTTCTGTTCATCCACTGCTTCCTGGTTCCGTTCATCCACTGCTTCCTGGTTCTGTTCATCCACTGCTACCTGGTTCCATTCATCCACTGCTTCCTGGTTCCATTCATCCACTGCTTCCTGGTTCCGTTCATCCACTGCTTCCTGGTTCCGTTCATCCACTGCTTCCTGGTTCCATTCATCTATTGCTTCCTGGTTCCATTCATCCACTGCTTCCTGGTTTCCACATAGTCTCTATCTTCCTAGTGAGACGCCGTTGCATGCATGAAATAAACACATAGTGTTTCTGTAACTAAGAGCGTTGAAGCGCGAGGCTAAACGTCTCTGCTGTTCTGGTCCCATAGACACTAGACGTCTCTGCTGTTCTGGTCCCATAGACACTAAACGTCTCTGCTGTTCTGGTCCCATAGACACTAGACGTCTCTGCTGTTCTGGTCCCATAGACACTAGACGTCTCTGCTGTTCTGGTCCCATAGACACTAAACGTCTCTGCTGTTCTGGTCCCATAGACACTAAACGTCTCTGCTGTTCTGGTCCCATAGACACTAGACGTCTCTGCTGTTCTGGTCCCATAGACACTAAACGTCTCTGCTGTTCTGGTCCCATAGACACTAAACGTCTCTGCTGTTCTGGTCCCATAGACACTAAACGTCTCTGCTGTTCTGGTCCCATAGACACTAAACGTCTCTGCTGTTCTGGTCCCATAGACACTAAACGTCTCTGCTGTTCTGGTCCCATAGACACTAAACGTCTCTGCTGTTCTGGTCCCATAGACACTAGACGTCTCTGCTGTTCTGGTCCCATAGACACTAGATTGTAGCAACGTGAAGCGCACCCCTGCACATGCGCTGATACTCTGTATGACTGTGTGAGAGTAAAGTCTTGCATCGCGCTCATCTAAATATCTGCGGTACTATTCGTTGCAACATCATCTCGCTGAGTCTAAATGTAATGATCTTTCTTGCATTGATTAGATTTAGCTTACACTTCTATCAGAGTAGGAAGGACGTCACTGCTCTGTTCCTCTCACGGCTGTACTGAAGATAGATGGCTATGCTTGAAAGGACAAAAGAGGCAAAGTCATGGACACCAGCTGTTTGGTCTTTATTTAGTGTTAGGGTTAAAATACACAGAGTGGCTGGTGTTTTCAGAAGGCAGTATGTGGCCAGCAGGCCTGGCGTCCTCTAGCCTGGGTACCAGTCTGTTTCTGGTCTCTTTAATATAGCCTGGGTACCAGTCTGTTTCTGGTCTCTTTAATATAGCCTGGGTACCAGTCTGTTTCTGGTCTCTTTAATATAGCCTGGGTACCAGTCTGTTTCTGGTCTCTTTAATATAGCCTGGGTACCAGTCTGTTTCTGGTCTCTTTAATATAGCCTGGGTACCAGTCTGTTTCTGGTCTCTTTAATATAGCCTGGGTACCAGTCTGTTTCTGGTCTCTTTAATATAGCCTGGGTACCAGTCTGTTTCTAGTCTCTTTAATATAGCCTGGGTAACAGTCTGTTTCTAGTCTCTTTAATATAGCCTGGGTACCAGTCTGTTTCTGGTCTCTTTAATATAGCCTGGGTACCAGTCTGTTTCTGGTCTCTTGCCAACTCCTTATGGAATTGTCATGTGAAACAAGATTTGCTTGACAATGCCAATGGAGTAGGCAAAAGCACAAACAGATCTGGGACCAGGTTACTGCTACTGGGACCAGGCCTGGCTACCCCAGCTGTCTCTGTGCGGGCGGTTAATGAACAATGACCCCTCACACTGAGCATGCCCACAGCAGGCCTGGAGGTGAGAGGCTGAACCACATGTTGGAGCTCACTGAGCGCAGGCAGCAGGGTGAAGTTGGCCCTAGTCACTGATCAGAGGTCAGAATAGAGCTGTGGGACCTGACCAATAGCAGAGCTGGGAGGAAAGGCAGACAAACCATGAGCTTGACCCTGTGTAGTGGAACACTTTGATGCTACTGACACGTGGACATGGCCTTGTAGGCTTGTGTTGTGTTGGAGGTTTTCTTCTCTTTTATCGGGTCAGTGTGTCCTGTACTTTGTAGGAGATTAAAGAATGTCAAATCCATGCTGTCATTTGCACATTTGTAGCCTGTGGTGTTTTCAGAGGCTAACTCTGTCCTTGTATTGCTAAAGTTAGACATTACCGCCCCCTAGTGGGTGTTGGTACCAGTACACTGTGTTTATCTACCACAATATCTCATCCTCTCCCTGTCTCTCCCCAGCCTCCTGAAGAGGCGCCACACACTCCTGTCGCCTTTTGACGGGCCATCTTGCTGGTCTAGCTGTGGAACCTGGCAGGGCCCAGGACACATCTTCCTCGGCCTCATAGCCTGGTACCAGGCACCCGCCCCCCCCTTTTTTTTGGGGCGGGGGGGTTACCCGGGGCCCGACCCGGGTCGGTGTTGATCTGCTGGCTCGGCCCAAGCCCTGGCACAAGCCAGTCAAAAAAGGGAAACGTGGGGGCCCTTGCCCGCTTTGCAGCTCGGTGCGGACCCCCCCAAAGGGGAAGCGGGAGGGACATAAAAAGTCGGGGAGAAAAAAAAGGTTTAATGATCTCTCCTGTCTTGTCTCCTCTCTCTCTGGGGCTCTCTCGTCTCTGTCGCTCTTTCCTCTGTCGCTTCTGTCTCTGTCTCTTTTTTTCGGCCTTCTTCTCTCTTTTAAACCACAAACAAAAGACAGAAAAGACAGCCCAAAACACACCCCGGTGTGCTGTTAGGAAATTATGGACACGGACAAGATTGCTTTTTTGGGTTTGGACAGGCTTACTTTATTCGTCATCTTTAATTATTCTTCAAAATTTTAAAAAACAGCAGAAAAGTCAGCGATTACTATCTTTTTTTCCTCCCCTTACTGAACTGACCATTCCCCCCACTGTTTTCCGGGTTCCTTTCATCAATTTGTTTCCCTGGTTCCGTTCATCCACGGGCCCCGGGTTTCCCAAATTTCCAAAATGTTTCCCGGGTTCTGTTCACCCAGTTCCCCGGGTTTCCATTCATCCCTGTTCCCGGGGTTCCCCCCGTTAACCCCACGTCCCGGGGCCCATTCATCCAGGCTTCTGGTTCCGTTCTCCACTGCTTCCTGGTTCTGTTCATCCATTTGTTTCCCCGGGTTTTCCATTCATCTACTGCTTCCGGGTTTCCCTTACCCACTCTCGGGTTTTAATTCAAAAATGCTCCCTTGGTTCCATTCACCCATGTTCCTGGTTCCAGTCACCCAAATGTTTCCTGGTTCTGTTCATCCACGTTTCCGGGTTTCCTTTTTCATCCATGTTCCTGGTTCGTTCATCCACTGTTTCCCGGGTTTCCCGTTATCCATTGTTCCGGGTTCGGTTAAATCCACTGTACCGGGTTTCATAATCCCCGCTTCCTGGTTCCATTCACCCAATGTTTCCGGGTTTCCGTTCTCCACTGTTCCGGGGTTCCGTTAATCCATGTTTCCTGGTTCCATTCTTTCTTGTTTCCCGGGGTTCCCCATTCATCCACGTTTCCCGGGTTCCACAAGTCTCTATTTTCCTAGTAGACGCCTTTGAATCCCATGAAAAAAACCCACTTTAGGTTTCTGTAACTAAGAGCTTTTGAAGCGGGGGCTAAAGCCCTTCTGTTCGGGTCCCAAGACACTAGACGTCTCTGCTGTTTGGCCCCAAAAGCCCAAAAAAAGTCTCGCTGTTTGGTCCCAAGAAAACTGGGAGTCTTCCCGGGTTTGGCCCCATAGAAAACTAGACGTCTTTTGCGTTTTTTCCCATGCACAAAAACGTTTGCGGTTTCTGGCCCCATAGACACAAAGGGTTTCTGCTGTTTTTGGCCCCCATAGACACTAGACGTTCTGCTGTTTGGTCCTTTAGACACTAAACGTTTTCTGTGTTCTGGCCCCAAAGGACACTAAACTCTCGGGTTCGGGTTCCCATAGACACTAAAGGGTCTTGTTTTTGGTCCCATGGGCCCACTAAACGTCTTGCTGTTTGGTCCCTAGACACAAAAACGCTTGCTGTTCTGGTCCCATAGACCCTAAACGTCTCGGTTTTCTGGCCCCAAAGGGAACTGACGTCTCTGGTTTGGTCCCTAGACACAGATTGTAGAAAAAGGGGAAGCGAAACCCCTGAATGCGCTGATACCGGTAGGATGTGTGAGAGAAAGTCTTGCATGGGGCTTTTCTAAATATTCTGGGGGGGTACATTCTTTGGGAAAACATATCTCGCTGAGTTTTTTAAATTTTTTTGATTTTTCTTGCATTGATTAGATTTAGCTTTACCCCCTTCCCCTATCAGAGTGGGAAAGGGAAAACCGCATGTCTTTTCCTCTCACGGCTTTTTTACTGAAAAATAGATGGAAAATGTTTGGGGAAAGGGACAAAAAAGGGGAAAAAGTCATGGACACCAGCTTTTGGTTTTATTTAGTTTTGGGGTTTAAAAAATTACACAGAGTGGCTGGTTTTTTCAAAAGGGCCAGATTGGCCGGGGCGGGCCCTGGCGTCCCCTAGCCTGGGTTACCAGTCTGTTTCTGGTCTTTTTTAATATAGCCTGGGTCCCAAGCTGTTTCTGGTCTCTTAAAAAGGGCCGGGGTACCAGTCTGTTTTGGGTCTCTTAATATAGCCTGGGTCCAGTTTTTTTGGGTCTCTTTAATATAGCCGGGGTACCAGTCTTTTTCTGGCCCTTTTTAATAAAACCCGGGGAAACCAGTTTTTTCGGGTTCTTTAATATCCCCTGGGTCCCAGTCTTTTTTGGGTTTCCCCTTTAAAAGGCGGGGTTCCCAGTCTGTTTCTAGTCTTTTTAATATAGCCTGGGAAAAACATTTGGTTTTAAGTCTTTTTAATTTAAAACCGGGGTTTCCCAGTCTTTTTTCGGGTTTCCTTTTTAATATAGCCTGGGTTTCCCCGTTGTTTCTGGCCCTTTTGCCAACCCCTTAGGGAAATTTGTCTTTGTGAAACAAGTTTTGGGTTGAAAATGCCAATGGATAGGCAAAAGCAAAAAACAGATTGGGCCCCGGTTACTGCAAATTGGGAAACCAGGCCTGGTTTACCCCACCCTTTCTGTGGGGGGGTTTAAAATGAACAATGACCCCTCCCACTGGGGCAGGGCCCACAGCGGGCCTGGGGGGTGAGAGGTTAAACCCAATTTTGGGAGCTCATGAGCGAGGCACAGGGTGTTAAAGGGTTGGCCCTAGCCCATGATGGGGGTAGAATGGGAGCTTGGGACCTGACCAAAAAGCGGGGCTGGGGGGAAAAGGGCCCAAGCCCAAACCATGGCTTAAACCCTTTTGTAGGGGAACCCACTTGATGTACTGAAAAGGGGAACAGGGCCCTGTAGGTTGTGTTGTGTTTGGAGGTTTTCTTCTCTTTTATCGGGTCTTTGGGCCCTTTTTTATTTGGTAGGAGATTAAAAAATGTAAAACCATGCTGCTTTTGCACTTTTTTGAAAGGCCTTTTGGTGTTTTCAGAGGCTAAACTCTGTCCTTTTTTTGCTAAAGTTGGACATTACCCCCCCCCTAGGGGGTTGGCCCAAAGGACACTGTGTTACTACCACAATATCTCACCCTTTCCCCCCTGTCTCCCCCAGCCTACCGAAGAGGGCCCAAAAACTCAGGGAGTTGGACGGCCATTCTGGGGAAACGGGGGCCGGGCGGGGCCCGGGAACATCTTCCAGAGTCCAGCCCCCAGCCCCAGCCCCTCCAAGCTGTCCCAGGGGAAGATGGGTGGGTCCGGGGGCCCGAGGGGGAAGGGGGCCCCTAAAGAGAGCTTACCAGGAGAAGCCTACCCCCCCCCAAACCTTTGGGGAGCTGGCCCCCCCAGCTCAACCCAAGACCAGCCCGTACCCAAACTTTTTTCCAAAACTACGGTCGGGTTTAAACTGCATTTTCAGTACTGGGACTACGTTTCCTACAGGCTACGCTACATTTCCGTATAGACTACGCAAAATAAAAAAAATGGGACTACGCTACACTATCAGTACTGGGACTACGCTAAATACTAGACTACGCTAACACTATAAAGTACTGGATCGCTAAAATATCGTATTTGGGATACGCTAAAATATCAGTACTGGGACTAGTACACTATCATTACTAGACTACGCTACTTTACTAGACACGCTACACTATCAGTACTAACAAGCTACAATTCAGAAATTTAAAATTAAGCTACACTATCAGTACTAGTTTACGCTTAAAATATCAGGTACGTCACTATCAGTCTAGCCCCCACCCCCCCTCCCCCACACGTACTAGACTCGTAAAATATCAGTACTAGACTACGCTCCCACTATCGTACTAGATACGCTCCCATACTGGGATTTACGCTACAATCAAAAACTAGACTAGGGTACACAAATCAGTACTGACTACGCCACTATCGTACAGTACGCAATATCAGTACTAGACACGTACCCCATCAAAAATACGGGGGACTACGTACACTATCAGTACTGGACTACGTACACTTCAGTACTGGGACTACGCTACCTATCAGTATTTAGAAAGTACATACAGTACTAAAATACGTTACACTTTTCAGACTGGGTTTACGCTGACTATAAGGCTACGCTAAAACTATCAGTACTAGATATGTAAAAACTGATACGTCACTACCCAGTACTAGTATGTAATACTAGATACGCTACACTATCAGTACTAGACTACGCTACACTATCAGTACTAGACTACGCTACACTATCAGTACTAGACTATGCTACATACTAGACTACGCTACACTATCAGTACTAGAACGCTCCACATCAGTACGGGGATTTTCCCTACCTATCAGAAATAGACAGGGCTACATATCAGAAAGGGAAACGCTGCACTATCAGTATTAGACTACGCACAATCAGACTAGACTACGCTACAACTAATACGCTCCCAATACAGAAATTAGACCCCGCTACACTTCAGACTAGACTACGCTGAAACTATCGGGCAAAGTCCCACTACATACTAGACTACGCTACATATCAGTATAGATAGGGTGCACTATCAGGCCTACGCTACCCCTTTTCAGTATTTGGGACTATGTACATACTAGACTACCTACACTATCAAAATAGACTACGCACACTATCGAATAGATACGCTACACTATCAGAATGGGCTACGTTGCACTATCAGTACTAGCTACGCACACATAAAGTACTAGACTACGAAACACACAGTACTAGCCCTCGCTAACTTCAGCCCTAGACTAGGGTACACTATAAAGGTTTACTAGACTACAGGAACACTACCCAGAAACTGACTACACGCAAACACTTCAGTACTGACTACGCTACCTATCAGTACTAGACTACGTTTCCACATCAGTACTGGGACTACGCTACACTATCAGTACTAGACTCGCTACACTATCGTACTGGAACAAAGCTACACTACCCGGTACGCTAAAATATCGTCTGGGACTATGAACATACTGACTACGCTCCCCACTATCGTATGGGACTACGCTACCCTATCAGTACTAGATTTAGCTACAAACTGAATACGTACATATCAGTACTAGACAAAGCTACACTATCAGTACTAGACACAAACATTTCATTTCTAGACAGCTACACTATATTCTAGACTACGTTTCATTTATCAGACAGACTACGCTACACTATCAGTATAGACTTGTACAAAAATTGGGGACTACGTTTACACATCAGTATTTAGACTACGCTAAAAAACTATCAGTCAAAGGACATGCTCCCACTATCAGTTTGACTACGCTAAACTATCAGTTCTAAACTACGCTACACTATCGGGTACTAGATGCACCCTTTCTTTATTTAGACTTGCTAAATAATAAAATACGCTACACTATCAGCTAGACTCGCACACTATATTTACTAAAACTATGCTACACTATCAGTTCTAGACTACGCTACACTATCAGTTCTAGACTACGCTCACTACCCGTACTAGATACGTAAAACATCAGTACTAGACTAGCTACACTATCTTTACTAGATACGGCAACTATCAGTACAGACTACGTACTTTACTAGACACACTACGCTAATACTGAACGTACCCCTATAAGTATTTAGACTATGTTTACACATCAGTACTAGCTACGCTACATATCGGGTTTTGGGATACCTACAAATCAGTACTAGACTACGTTCCCATACTAGACACGCTCCCCTATCAGGTACGCTCCCACTATCAGAAACAGCAAAGCTACACTATCAGTACTGGACACGCACAATCAGTATAGACTAGGGACACATCAGGTTTACGATAATATCAGTACAGACTCCGCTACACTATTTTTTATTAGATACGCTACACTACATTTTACTAGACTAGCTACCCCTATCAGAAATAGATACGTGCACTACAGACTAGACTACGCACACTATCATTTACTAAAACCGATACACTATCAGGCTACCGGGCACTCCCCCCCCTTTACTGGGACTACGTACCCCTATAGTACTAGACCCCGTTTCATTTCAGTACTAGACTACGCTACACATCAGTCTAAAATACGATACCCTATCGTATGGGATTTTAGGGGAACCTATCAGACTAGACTACGTAAAACTATCAGTACAAAGACTATGCTCCTTTAAATAGGCTCCCACTATCAGTACTAGACTACAAAAACCTATCGGGAAAAGAAAACCCATCAGGACTGGGACTACGCTACACAAATCAGTACTAAAATACGTCCACTATCGGCTACGTACACATCGGCTACGTTTAACTATCAGAAATGACTACGCTACACTATCAGTACTAGACTACGATACACTATCAGGCTACGATACACTATCAGTACTAGACTACGCTACAATATCAGTACTGGGACTCGCTAATACTGGGGACTCCCACTACGCTAATACTAGACAGAAACCCTATCTTTCCCTGGGACTACGTTCACTATCAGTAAAACTACGCAACATCATTTACTTAGATACGCTACACTATCAGTATAGGACTCCCCCCATCCCGACTACGCTCCCCAATCAGGCTCCCGTTTAAAATATCAGTACTGGGATTTACGTTTACACTATCAGTACTAGACTACGCTACACTATCAGTACTAGACACGCTAAACATCAGACGGGACTACGCCCCACTATGGGGTTTACGTTTACACTTTTCAGGCACGTTTCCCCAATCAGTACAGTCCCGTACACATAAAGTACTAGACAAAGATTACACTATCGGGCTACGTACAATCACCCCCTGGGACACGCTTAACTATCAGTACTGGGGACACGTACATTTTGACTACCCTTACGCTCCCAACTAGACTACGCTACACTATCAGTACGATTTAAGCACACTATCATTTACTGACTACGCACACTATCATTTCTAGACTACGTTTAAATATCATACTGGGATACGCTTACACATCATACTAGACTACGTTTCCACTATCAGACTAGACTAGACATACTGGGACACGTACACTATCGGGTTTACGCACAATCAGTACAAAAAAAAACCCTTTAACGCTACATACAGTACTAGTACGCTACAAATCAGTACTAGACTACGCTACACTATCAGGCTACGTTACACTATCATTTACTAACACGCACACTATCAGTATAGACTACGCTAA